TTTTGGGAGGAATTTGAGAGAAATAGCTCAAATTTTGAATAGAATCAAAGTTTGAAGGAAAAATATGTTAGGAAGAGATGCAAGATTGCTGAAGGAACAGAAGAAAATGATGTATGTTTCATAAATTGGCAACGTTGTTGTTGTCGATTGAACCCAAGCTAGAAGAGGATTGAACTTAAAGTGCGACTCAAATCCAAGCCGGTTAGATGTTTTCAAGGCTACTCGGCAAGGGTCGAGTCGCAAGACAATTTCTATCGAAATAGTACAATTTGACATGTTGGTTTGGGACAACAGCTCGACCATATAACTCGGTTGATCAGTCTCACCAATTAATTCAACAAACTAATTTGGCTAACCACTCATTCAACGATCTAGCCAATCTCACTAGCAGCCTATGCACGTCGGTTTATTAGTTTTATTTTGAACAATGTATTCATTATACATTGTCTAGCAACATATATAGAGTACCTATATCAAACTAAACCCATAAATAATGGAGGCCACCTTAAGCTATATTAAAATATAGATAAAGTGAAAGTACCTTCAAAATTGGTAAATATTGTGCAAAGTGGAATTAAGTCCCAGTGGTGGAAAAGTTAAGAGCCATCTACTTTGGGAACAACTTCAAAACTGTCATCATTGTTCACTCATGCATGGCTGGCTCAGCTGTGCCTTTATAACTCACCATCCTGTTCCTTCAACCCAACTCCCTACTTGTCTTGCTTTAATATATATAATAAAATTTGCATTTTTACTTGAGATCTGTATATAAATCTCTTCTTCTCCTTGGTCCTCCATGTGCATGATTTCTTCTAGCACTATTACAACCAGCTTCTTCTCTGATCATGGAGTGCTCAAGTTTCCTCCTTTTCTCTTTGGTTGCATTCCTTTCTCTTAGGGAATTTGTGAGGCTATCAGAGGCAAGAGCTGTGTTCGTCTTCGGCGATTCTCTGGTCGATAGTGGCAACAACAACTACTTGGCGACCACCGCTAGAGCCGACTCGCCGCCATACGGCATCGACTACCCGACGCACCGGCCGACCGGCCGGTTCTCCAATGGACTCAACATACCTGACATTCTCAGTAATTCAGATACCAAAACAAAGTGAACACTGTACTGATCAGCATCTTCTGTTCTGATTGACAATTTGATGAACCAACTGCAGGTGAGCGAATAGGCGAGGAGCCGACATTGCCTTACCTCAGCCCTGAGCTGCAAGGAGAGAGGTTGCTCGTCGGCGCAAACTTCGCTTCGGCCGGAATTGGCATTCTGAATGATACTGGAATCCAATTTGTAAGCCATGAATGAAGTTTGTTATACTGAATTCAGCTCTGATTTTGCCTTACAAACTGAACTGATGATGTTTTGTAGCTAAACATTATAAGAATAAGTCAGCAATTGGCGTACTTTGAGCAGTATCAGGAGAGGGTGAGTTCTATCATTGGGCCGGACCAGACCCAACGGCTAGTAAATCAGGCGCTGATTCTCATTACTCTGGGCGGCAATGATTTCGTCAACAATTACTACTTGGTGCCTTACTCCGCCAGATCACGGGAGTTCTCTTTGCCGGATTATGCTCAGTATATCGTCTCTGAGTACAAGAAGATTCTCGCTGTATGATTCTAATTCTTCCATCAATCTTTAGCAGCATTTTGGTGCTGTCTGACAGCAGATGAGATTTAAGATATTAGGATTTAGTAAATCC